CTCCTTTCCTTTTTAAAAGCTGCTGCCCAGAGCCATAGCGCTGCCAGGATTCTGGTAAATAAGTTCCCCTGAAGAAAATGACTCATCATGTCTTAATGAACGCACTGTCACTGGCTCTCTGGGTGGCGTGTGCTTTTCGGACAATTTAGTTGCTTCTAAACTTGGTGGCTGGTATAAAACAGAAGTCTTCATGAGTCATAAAAAAATGACACTTTGGAGAAATAAATGTCAATATTATGGGCTCTTTCATGGAGTATGCCATACGCCGTTTCTTAGAACAACCCAAGCTCTCTCCCGCCTAAGGCTGCAGCTGTCCGCTTTTTTCTAAATTGCTCTTCTCTCGATAGCTACAGGGCTGGCCTCTTCAGCAGTCAGGGCTGTGCTTAAATGTTACTTTCCAGTGGTGCCTTCCCTGGTCACCCACTCAATCCCACCTTCAGTCTTATTATCTGGGCAGCAGGCTTTGCGAACACTCTGGGAGACCCAGCTCTAATGTGTGCTAGAACCTAGGATTACTAGACCTGGGAGTGGCTATGGAATGATAGGGAAGGACTCAGGTCCCAATCTCTGGGGGTCCTGTGGTTGGCAAGGCCTGGACTACGTGCTCCATGAGAACAAGGGCTGTGTGAATGCCATCCTCACGACCCTAGCATTGACACATAGTAGCTGCTCAGGGAATGTCTGTGGGATGACACAGCTCTTGCTTCTGGAAGAATGTGGCTACGCTAGCAGCCTGGACAAGGTAAAGAAGTACTAAGTTGGGTAGGAATGAGAGACGCTTCCCATCTCCCTTCAGACCCCTGATAACATCCCTCCATGGGACCCTGTCATATATGGCCTTTCACAGTGCACCGATGGGCAGCACCCAGACAGAAGTTGCTCAAAACCTCCCTCCAGAGGAAATCAGGTGTAAAGTCCCTGCCTACCAGCAGGCCAGGGCAGCCCCGGGTCACAGTAGCTGTTTTCCGATAGTGCCTGGGAAGAGGCCTCTGGGAGCTCTTTCTCAATGGAACCAGGCTCTCACAGTCATCACAGGTCATATCCCTGTTGCCTCAACCTGGTCCAACCCACAGGACTGACCTACCTAGCGAGGCTGGGAAGGTTTAGGCAGACAGACAGACAGACAGACAGACTGCCTGAGGTGTGAGGGACTACATTCACCCCCGTGACCAAAACCCCATGTGTGTCCAGCGTGGCAGATTACTCATGGTCTGGGGAGGAGGAACGGCCGGATCCAGAGGTAATACCCATGGAGTCCTAAGCAATGGGAAAGGAGCCCCATGTGGATTAAATAAACACATTCCTGCCTGCAGATCCCCCTTTTTTAACCACATGAGGCAGATGTACTATCCGAAGGACTTTGGACTCAGTGAGTTGTGACTTATGTAAACAATACCACACTGACTTAAAAATAATCCACAAGGCAGGAAAAAAACCCACTTTCATTGTTATAAAACTGAACTAAGATTACATTTTTTTTCTCCTGTAATTGCTTCTCAGGGTCCATAAATAGACCTTATTATAAAGAGTTGGGGAGGGGAACAGCAAGTCAAGATAAAGTACAACCTTTTTTTAGATTATTTATGGGTGGGTTTTGTTGTTGTTGGTTTTTTTTTTTTTTTGGTCTGATTCTGAACCCTTTGAAGAACTGAAGGACTATATAAAATAAGCTAACTGGTTTCATTCCAAGAAATATCAAATAAAACTCCAGTTTCAGGGAGACAGAACTCTACCAGTGTTCCCAAATGCCAAGAGCCTTCTATGTCATGTTTTCTGGGACCTAAAGTTATTCTCCCTAAACCTGCCATGATTTTCAGTTGAAAAATACCCAAAGTGGATGCAAGCCTTGCCCAGGGAGAGCATCCTAAATGTGTGATTCCCATTTCCCACAACTCAGCGAGGGAGGAAGACCCTGACCCAGAGGAGAGCGGTGATCACTGCTTAGCAGAGAGCAGCTTCTCAGGGACTTAGCATTTGAAACTGACAGGACATTGATCTCAGTTGATCAGCCTGAGCCACCTACTCTTCTTGGCTGCCTCTTCCCCATTCCAGCCACTCTCTGTGAGTTTAGTTGTTTTTTTTTTTTGAGACAGGATCTCGCTCTATTACCAAGGCTGGAGTGCAGTGGTGTGACCTCAACTCACTGCAGCCTCTGCCTCTCAGGCTCATGCAATACTCCCACCTCAGCCTCCCAAGTAGATTGAACTACAGGCGTGTGCCACCATGCACAGATAATTTTTTAAAAAAATTTTTGTAGAGATGGGGTCTCACTGTATTGTCCAGGCTAGTCCTAGAACTCCTGGGCTCAAGCAATTCTCCCGCCTCAACCTCCCAGAGTCTGGTCTGTGAGTTTAGTTCTGATGACTGAGTCTAGCTGTCTGAAGATGCTGAGCTGCTGAGCTCCAAAGAGGCCTGGCCTCTCCCCTGCACCTCTGTGCTGGACTTCTTCAGCACCTATGAAGGGCCCAGCTGAGCCTGTGGCCAGCAAAAAGGGAACCTTCTCCCTCACATGGTCCCACAAGGGACCACAGGAGGTCTGAAGACATGCCCCCCAATTCCCTGACATTATTATGTCTGATGTTGGTGGCCACTCTGGACACTTGCCCTCTCACATTTCATATACACCCATGTATTTGTGCCATCCGCATATCTCTGATGGCTGGTGGCAGCGTCTGGCTGCATCCCAACTCTGCTGAGCAAGGGGTGCAAATAAGACAATAGTGGCCAGCAGCCCAAAGCAACATTTAGGCCAAAAGCATGCACGTGTGTGTGAAGGTCTGTGTGTGTGCACGTGTGTGAAGGTCTGTGTGTACTCACGTGTGTGTGAAGGTCTGTGTGTGCGCACGTGTGTGAAGGTCTGTGTGTACTCACGTGTGTGTGAAGGTCTGTGTGTACACACGTGTGTGAAGGTCTGTGTGTGCACACGTGTGTGTGAAGGTCTGTGTGTACTCACGTGTGTGTGAAGGTCTGTGTGTGCACACGTGTGTGTGAAGGTCTCTGTGTACACACGTGTGTGAAGGTCTGTGTGTGCACACGTGTGTGTGAAGGTCTGTGTGTGCACACGTGTGTGAAGGTCTGTGTGTGCTCACGTGTGTGTGAAGATCTGTGTGTGCACACGTGTGTGAAGGTCTGTGTGTGCGCACGTGTGTGTGAAGGTCTGTGTGTGCGCACGTGTGTGAAGGTCTGTGTGTGTGCACGTGTGTGTGAAGGTCTGTGTGTGCGCACGTGTGTGAAGGTCTGTGTGTACTCGTGCCCGTGTGATGGATGTTGGGAGGGATGCCTGATATTTATTAGTCACTTTCCTTATACATGCAGTTTTCATGCCGCTTGTTCCTCAGTGCGCATGTCAGCCTCCAAAGGTGAAGATTATTGAGTCCCAGGCACATGAGGGCTATTTCAGTTTCCTAGAGCTGCCATCACAAGTTATCACAAATTTAGTGGCTTAAGACAACAAAAATGTAATTGTTCACAGTTTTAGAGACTTGAAATTCACAGTCAAGGTGTCGGCAGGCCATACTCCCTCCAAAGACTGCTTTGTGGCGAGTCCTTCTTCGCCACTTCCAGCTTCTGGTGAGTCCAGGAATTCCTTGGCTTGTGGCTGCATCACTCCAGTCTCTTCCTCCATTCTCCCGTGGCATTCTCTTCTGTGGTGTGTGTGTGTGCGCGAGTGTGTATGGGGTCATTTTGTCTCTGTGTCCTCTCCTGTTTCTTATAAGAACACTTGTCATTGAATTTAAGCCCACTAAGACAATCCAAGATGATGCCATCTTAAGATCCTTAACCCAGCACTTGGGGAGGCCGAGGTGGGTGGATCATTTGAGGTCACGAGTTCGATACCAGCCTGGCCAACATGGTGAAACCCCATCTCTACTAAAATGACAAACATTTGCTGGCTGTGGTGTCACATGCCTGTAATCCCAGCTACTCGAGAGGCTGAAGCACAAGAATCGCTTGAACCCAGGAGGTGGAGGTTGCAATGAGCTGAGATTGCACCACTAGACTCTAGCCTGGGGGACAAAGTGAGACTCTCTCTCTCTTTATATGTATATAAGAGATCCTTAACCCCCAAAATGTCACCTTTACGGGTTCAGGGTGCTGGATGTGGGGCAGTCTTTCAGGGTGCCACAGTTTAACTCACTACAAAAGGTGACATTTAATACTTATGGCACTGTTTTGGGTGCTTTGCCTGAATTATTTCCATTAGTCTTCAAACAACTTTAAGAGGCATGTGTAAATTATTCCCCCATTTTTAGAAGTAAAGATATCAAAGTGCAGAGAGGGGGAACCTAGGCAGGGGTGTTCCAGAGCCTGCTGTGACCACGGGTGACTTGCCTGGCTCATAGAGCTAGTCCAAGGCAGCATTGTCACCTCCTGGTCAGAATCTTCACTTCCACCTCCTGATGTCATCATCATGCCATCCCTGGTGGCATTCACATCCAGTCAGACAGACCAGGCAGCACCATAGAGGTCTCTCCCTCCTGGGCTCCTCAGGTGCCCATTCCTGCAGTCACACCTGGACCATCCCATCCTCAAATCTCGATTCCAAACACCTCTCTCCATCCTCCCAGCCCTGCAGGTCAAGATTCTCCACTGCCTCACCTCAGTTTCTTGGCTTCCTTGAGATTTTCAATGTAGTGACTCCCCCTTCCTCCTTCTTGAGCCTCCTTCCCAGCTCCTCTTCCTTCTTCGTCCAGCCTCTGCTCCATGGTTCCTCATCATTATTCCAGTGTGAATTTTCTCAGCAACTCTGCCTTTCTGTCCTTTGTCACAGCCCCTTGGCAAAATCCCAACCCTGAATGAACCCTCCCATCCGCTGTCTCCACACCTGCTCCAGAGCTGTTCCTGGAGATAATCACACAATAGGGCTGGCTAATGTTGCTCTAAATTCATGATCTTGGCTCATGCACTTGCCCTCAAGACTGCCAGGCAACCCCACTGCTCTCTCTAGTAGGCCACTGCCCACTCTCAAATGACAATTTTACTTCTTTTTGTCCTCTCACCTTCCCTTCCACCCTGCTCTCTCCCTCTGGTTCCAAGGGACCCTTCCCCCCCAATTACTTCGCTCAACTTTCATCTTCCCAATACTAGATTAGGACCCATCCTGACTGCCCCTCTATTCTGCTTCTTCCTGTGCTGATGGAGAAAGTCCCTCCACCTGTGCTCTGAATTCATCCTCTTCAGCTCCTTGGGAACTTATTGCTCTCATTGTCCCTCTGTGGCTCTCTCACCAGTCTCTTGGTTTTTCTAGGCAAGTCCAATCAGCACCCAGACATACTCCTCTCACTTGCAATTCATCTACCTCCAGCCCCTCCCCTTGACAACTACTTCCCAATCCCTCTATTTTCTTTTGCAGTCAAATTTCTCCAAAGAATATAATTTGTTCACAGCCTCCATCTCTTAACTCCCATGCACTCCCGGGCCCACTAAAGGCTAACTCTGCTCCCCAGTACTGAGACTGCTCAGTCAAGGTCACCAGTGACTCCAACCGGCCAGGCCCAGCCCCACTCTTGGACTTCATCTTAGTCCTGTGACAATATTGACCCCTCTTTCTGCAAACTCTTGCCTCTCTCTGTTTCTACCACATTCTTCTCTCCAGGCTCTCCTCGCTCTTCACTGGCTGGTCCTCCTTTGCAGGTCCTCCTCCTTTTTCTGACTTCTCCTTGGTCTTCCTTAGGCCCTCTTGGGTCCTTTTTCTTCACTTCACAGGTGAGTTCATGAAATTCCATGGATTTAAATACTATTCTTATGCTGTCATCCCAAATCTATATCCCCAACCTGGACTTCTTTGAGCTTCCTTCTGACTTGTGGATCCTATTGCCTGCTGCCATTTCCACCTGGAGATCTCAGATATCTCCAGACTAACACATTCAGAGCAGACTTTCCATCCTCCCAACTCCACCTTTGCCATTCCAGTAAAGGGCATGGCATCCCCACCCCAGGTGACTTGACTCTCTCTTCTTGAGTGCGTCCTCTTCTCCCTTTACCTAAACCACCAGAAAGTCTTGCTGGTTTTTGTGCTCTAAAATCCGTCTTAAATCTATCTCCTAAAATAGCCTGGAAAGCACAGCCCTACCCTCCACCCTCAGCTCAGGGTACTCTCCAGAGACACTCCTCTTCCTTCAGTTTCAACCTTGCCCCACCCAAGCCCTTTCCTACCCTTCCCACTTAGCGGTCTTGTGCCTGTCATTTTTCTCTTGCCGAGAATGCTCTTCCCTTTTATTTATATAGTAGCTATTCTTCCTTCTTGTACATCGCAATTTTAAATGCTGCCCATTCAAAGAGGCAGTCATTCATCAACCTCATCTAAAGTAGGTCCTTCTGTTATTCTTTATCTCAGCCCCTTGGTTATTTTCTTAATTTCCAACATCACAACTTATTTTCTTTTTTGCATGTTTGGCCTTGTTATTGTTGTTATTGACTGTCTCTCTCTCCCTCACTTGCATATAGGATCCAAGAACACCCAGGTCTTGAAGATGAACACATCTTCAGGATATAGAACAGTGCCTGGCATGCTACAGATGTTGAATTAATGATCAGATTATCAAAGATGAAACCAAGATTTAAACCACATCGGTCTGACTTCAGAGCCCTGCTGTCTTCTCATACTCCATATGCCTTCTTTCAGCAGACAGAATTCTGGAGGAGTTCAGGGTAGGAGAGGGCCCTCTGGGTGGGAGGGTCCAAGAAGGCTTCCTGGATGAAGAAAGCTGGATTTAGAAAGGGGCAATCCAGCTGTCCACTGTGTCCTGCCTTCTGATCCCACCAGGCCCGGTGCCACTCTGCCCCAATCATGGTGAAATGACATTGAGTCTGACTTGAACTTGCTCCTCACATGCATCTAGCCTATAGAAGAAGAAAACTGATATCAGCCTCTCTGCTGGTACCTTCTTTTCAGCGCCTTCCACTCACTGCCCACCTCTGGCTATCTCCATTCCCTGCCACCCTCCAAATCCTGCTGGCTTCAAGGCCCAGCCCCAGCCCTCCTGCAGGAACTCTTACTCAGCCCTTCTGCAGACCCTTCACTCCTCGAATGTTTCCTTATCATCTTGTGTCTCAGGACTCTTCTTTTCTCCCCTGCACTGGCATTGCCTTGCTGGATTCTCAGGGTGAGTTAGGTTGCACTGCAGGAACAAACCAACCCAGCTCTCAGTGGCCAAGTGGTGGGCATGATCAGTGCAAAGGGCAAGGCCTCATATCACAAGCCAACCCTGGTTTGGTGGGAGTCTCTGCGCCCCATCATCCTCTTTCGAAGATATTGACTGACAGAGCCTCTGCCATCTGGAGCACTGCCAGGCATCAGGGCAGGAAGAAGGGAATGTGGGAAATTCTGCATCAGCTCTTAGAAGCACTCACCAAGTTCTTCATGCCTCTTCTGCTCACGTTTTACAGGCTAGAGCAATCACATGGCCACGCCTAACCTGAAAGGTGAGGAGAGGTGGGAAGTAGTGAGTGCAATACTATGATGTGGTCAGAAGCACAAGCAATGGAAACATTGGTGGATAATCCTTGTGGCTACCACACCACATTGAAGTTCCAAAAAGTTGGAAGCTGTTACTTCTTATGCTTTCTCTTCGCTGCAGTCCTTAGCCTGTAGCTTGGGCAAAGATGCTGAGTGAACTAGGACCCCACCTCCAAGTCTGGCAAAGACTTCCTTTCCTCTGAGAGAGGCTATGATGCAAGAGGTAGTTGAGAATTTTTGAGAATTTTGGCTGAAGCTATCATAACTCTGGCAGGGCTTTCTATAAAATTTGTGGGAGCTGACCTCTCCTTGATCTTTATTTTTAAGCCTCAAACCCCTTTTCTTTTTCTGTTAGTATTCAACCCCCTCCACCTTCACCCCCATCTTCTAGGTCTCTCTAGAACCGTCCCCGATTCGAATGTTCAGGTTGAACAATGTTTTGCCTGACCCGGAGAACACAAAGTGACTCCTTTCTGTTGGCTGTAATGTGTGGATGCTGAGCACTTCTCAAATGCCAAGCACTGAGTTCAATGTTCTCTCAGATCATTGGATTAATTATTGTCACAAATCAGCTGGTGGAAGCTCCATTGTTCAGGGGATTTCACAGAGGAGGACTCTAGCGTTTAACAACTGACCCGAGGCGCTTGGCTGGTGGGCATTGTCTCTGGGCTCCTCCCTAGCTGACTCTCCTATGCCACTTGCCTCGTGACTGGGCACATGGCCGAAAGGGTGAGTGGGTGCCAAAGGTCGACCTTGAAGCATGTTGCCCGCTCCCTGGGGAACTAAGTGTTCTGTGTGGGGGCTGAAGTGCAGAGATAATGGTGGAATTTACCTCTCAAGACGACAGGGCTAAGTGTGACTTTTGTTTGATAAGCTTGGGTTTTATGTCTTTAGGAGCAAACAAACAAACCATAAAGTGGCAGTCTGTTGGAGTGAGTCCCAGCTGAGCTTGCAGGAAGGGAGAGGCTCTGGGTTCTGCCCCTGGGGAAGAGTGAGAGAGGCAGGCACAGTGGGGGCGGGGGAGACTCATAGAGCTTCCCTTTCCTCATGTGAAAAGCAAATCAGATTCTATGGTAATAACCCAAAGCTCACTTGAAAGGCTCATTAATGAGGAAAACAACAGCAGTAAGAACAACGGCTATATTACACTGATGCCGTGTGCCAGACAAGATACTGAGAACTTTCTATGTATCATCTTTGTTAACTATCCCATTTTAGAGAGGAGGTAAGTGAGGCTCAGGCAAGTTTAAAACATGCCCAAGCTCATATAGTCAGTGAGTGATGGAGCTAGGTTAGAAGCCCAGCAAGACGTCCAGGCCCTGTGCCCAGCCACTAAGCTTTAGTGTGGAATGTTGACAGTGATGATGTAAGAGGGGATGGCACTGATAAAGATGGCCATGATGATGATGATGATGACTCCAAACTCCTTGCTGACTAGTTACTCCATTCTTAGCCTCTTCCAGAAAGGCAAGCCTCCTCTGGCTGCCCAGCCATAGGAGATAAAGTAGCTTTACTTGTAGGGAGGAGGTACCAGGTGAGCATGAGCTCTCCTTTACCTGTTCAGTTCCATTTCCAGGGAACACTGTGCAGCGCCAGCCTGGGAGGCCACCCATGCAGACTGCAGACGTGTTGAAGGAAGATGCTTCCCAGGGCCGTGTTGTGCAAACTCTGTGGAGCATAGCTCCACGTGCCCTGAGGCATTTTCCTGGCCCAAGGCTCTGGCCAGCCCTTTTCCCTCCAACCTAGCGTGGTTCCCTCTGAGTCATCTCATCTGCCCAGCCTGGAATGTGCTGCCTTGACCTTTCCACCTGCTTAAAGCCTACTCATCCCTTAGGGTCCAGCTCAAGTTCATGTGGTTGGTTGCTTTGTTCTTCCATTTGTTCATTCATCCATTCATATTTATCAATCGTGTTTACGAATCTCCTGCAATATGTCAAGTATGTGTGGTGTAGAGGGATGAGCACGGGTTGGGGGGGGGGGCAGACACAGGTTTGATCCTGTCCCTTCTCAGCCACGTGACTGAGCAAGTCGCTCCCCGAGCTTCAGTTTTCCCCTCTGTAAAATGTGGATCATCAGTGAGACTGTGTGAGTTGAGAGAATCATAAACACTAACTTTCTCCCACAAGTACCCTCTCTCACGCCCTCTCACACCCTCTCTGCATCCCGGGCTCCCCCTGGCCGCTGCTTGAGTGGGAACATGCTAATTCAGCAAGTCAACCAATGATCACCAGGAAGACGCCGGGGCCCAGGACTGGTCTTCTCTTGACGGTAGCATTAAGACCATGACTAGATTCAAGGAAAAGTCTCAACAAGAGCTGGTTGCTCCCCAGACCACTGTGTAGTTCCGTGGAACACAGGCCTTCCTGGGTGTCCAGATCAGAGTGGGGGAGAGTATGCAGGCTTTTAGGCCTTAAGGACCATCCTGCTGAAGACTTGTCAAGAGAACGGAGCACAGCTCCCTCCTGCTCCCATCTGAGGCAGCCTAGGCAGGGCCAGCACTTGGTGATGGTGACATGTCCCAGTCAGGTGCCTGACTGGTGAGGGTGCCTAGTCTCCCTCCATGTTTCAGTAGAGATTCCATGTTCATCCTCATGGGAACCGGCCCACTGAGGGGAGGGGAGCCCATCTTGAAGGCCCTGCTTTTGACCTTTTCCTCCTTTTCCTCCTTAGGGGCTGATTCAACCTCATGAGAATGGACAAGCTTCTTAGGACCCTTCCCCAACCACCAAGACTGAAACCCTCCTTCCTCCCGTATTGGCGGTCATTCTCATTTACATTGGATGCAGAGGTCGCCCATTGCCCAGTCTTTCTAATATGCCTGGCATCTCCTGTCTTAGCCATGCAGGACAAATGCAAAGGACAGCTAAGAACCTAATTGAAAAGCCTGTAGGTAAAAGGGGCCTGGGTCAAGAAACCAACAGCTGCTCCCTCTGAGGATGCACTTATGTCATCTGAGAATTTCTTCCCAAATGAGACAGGAAGAGACAGGGCTACAAAGGAAGGGAGGAAGAAAAAGGAAAGCCCACGACAAGGAGAGACTAAGAAAGGGAGACAGTAGGCTCTGTGGGTGCAGCCTGAACTGGCCCACATGGGCTTTGACGACAGAGCCAAGGATTTGCCTTTTGCTCAAAGGAAGGGAGGGGGCTTCAGGGCTGCTCTGGGGCTGTAGAGTCAGAGCCCAAGCCTCTAGCAGGTCCCCCAGCCTGGGAGGCAGAGTGTGCAGCCAGAGCAGCCTCTGGACACCATCAAATTGTGCACAAAAACCTGGGGCCTCCATGGGAACTGCAGATTCTACAGAGTGAAGGGGTAGGAGGGTGGGGGATTGAAATTGTATTATTTCTTCCTCCTTCCTTGAAAACTCTGAGCACTAAAAGTAAAAACATACACACACTCACTCACCCTTGCACATACCTCTTCAATGTCTGGGCTATTCCATCTTTGTCAAAAAGAACCAAGATGTTATCTGTGAGGTATGTCTGCACTGAACTTAAGACAAGACCAAACCTACCTCCTCTCTCCTTGCAAAAAAAAAAAAAAAAAAAAATTGTATTTACTTTTCTTCCAAACCCAACAAAAATAAATATAAAATGTTAGAAATAGTTACTGAGCTTCTAGAAATTGTTATAGTACTGAAAGTGAGAAAATTAATTGTTACCTGGCCCAGGCACTTCATTTTCGCCTAAGCCCCAATTAAAATGGATTTTTCTTTTCTAGTGATCTATTGATGTATAATGAGCCACTACAACTTAGTAGCTTAAACCTTAACACCAATCCTTTTTTATTACCTCTCATAGTTCCGGGGGCTGACTGAGCTTGGAAGGGCCACTCACGGTCCTTTTTGTAGTTGTGGTCAGGCTAGGCTGGAGTCACCTGAAGGCTTCTGTACTGACAGGGATGGTGGTGGATAGTGGTCGATGTTGTCTGGTGGTGAGATCTCAGCTGGGGCTGTTGGCTGGCACACCTCCATATGGTCTCTCCATGTGGCCTGAGCTTCCTCACAGCATGGTGGATGGGTTCCAAATGGGAGTGTCCCAATAAGACCAGGAAGAAGCTGCATTGCCTTTCATAACCTGGCCTCAGAAGTCACAGAAGGTCACTTCTGCCATACTTGCAGGTCCACCCAGATTCAAGGATGGACACTAAACCCAACCTCTGTTTGGGAGGAGCGTTGGGATAGGAGATCTTATTGCAGTCATCTTGGCTAATACGTTTTCCCCGTGCTTTTAAGTATGGAGGTGGTATTCTTTTTAAAAATTATCATCCTCATTATCACCATTGCACCAGTGTACATGGGCCATGGGCTCTCCAGGCCAGCCCTACCCTTTGCAAACCTGTTCTGACTTCCATCTCACTAACTTCTCCCCCTCCAGCCCAGGCCCCAGGGCGTTCAACCCAGATCCCAGAGGCCTGTGCCCTCCTGCCGTGGGTCCCACAGTGCAGGCCTCCAATATTGTCACTGTTGTCCTTATTCCACTCTTCCACTTTGATCATCACAGTGAAAATTGCTTACAATCTTCATAGTTGGGTATGAATCTCAGGTCTGCATTTACTCCTTAGCATCCTTCTTCATCGAATGGAGATGAAAATCTCTTCCCCTCAGGACCACCAGGTAAGTGAAATGAGTGGTGGCAAATCACTCAGCATATGGAGAGTGTCTAGTGTTGATGGCCAGACTGGCTAATTTCCCTCCCACTTGGTAAAGCAGACCAGGCAGCCTTTATTATTATCATCCCATGCATTTTATGCTTGAGGCAAACAGGGTTTGCGGGTCTGCCAGACTTCCCGCCAGGCTTGTCGTAGGTGTTATCTCCAGGCAGTCAGCAGCCTGGCTGCTCTGCTCCATCCCACAGGCTGGGCATTGTGCTGGGAGCTCCATGCACAACCAGAGAGCTGCCTGTCTTCTGCATGTTGAGCACACACCATGCCAGTTTCCCTAGCCCATAAAAAAGGCTCAATACAAGCTGG